TTTCAACAATGCCAATATGGTTAGTGTCCTTTACATTATGGGTACAGAAATGACGTATTTATTTTGTAATTCAACAATTTGTCATGGTTTTCACTTTCAGTATTCGAAACTAATACACAAACAATGAAAGTTTGTATCTTTTCCGTTCCCTATCGATTATATACCTCTAGCATGTTCTAGAATCGGACTAATTTCGAACAGATTCGAATCGTCGAATTCCTCTCCATTAATTAGTTACGAAGAAATGTTCCGCAAAAAAGTTGATCGAGAAATTAAAGCTTGGCAAGCTGAATAAAGAACACAATGGGATTTTTTGTGCGGCCGATACTCGTGAACTATACGATACCGTACCCAAGCCGTTTTCAACACTATAGGGTGTTTCGAGAAAGCAAGTCGTAAATTATCTAGCGGATATTAAATACAGCATAGATTTCCATGATATCAAATTTTTCAACAGCATACAATTGATGTGTGACTATTTTGAAATGATTTGATTGTGACACCTTCATTTCAAATGAGCAGTAATTGCACCCATTAAAATTGTTTAAGCAATATAAATAATGATGATAATGATGATGATGATGATGATAGTAACATTTGGTCAGGCTAGATTTCGAACAGAGCTGGTCTGCATCTCTTTATTGACGTTATCTGTTGCACTCAGAAATAAAAGAAGGTACAACTTTGGTACCCCTGGAAACTGGGGGTACCAACTGGATGAGTTCAAACTTCTCCATCAGTCTTTGGGGATGGTGGAAGAGTACACACGGCATGGAAGTAGAGATGGATGAAGGTGCAATGGTCCATCTCGAAAGAGGTCGATGTGGGGATTACGGAGAGGATGTGCAGCTCGTAGATGAAAGTATCCTGCGCCATCTGGATGTTGCAGAGACGTATACAACATGGAGTAGAACAACGCCACTCAGACAGGGTGACTTCGGTGAAGAACTCTCTATGCGGCAAGTATCAGCAAAAACTCCGACATATCTTGTCATTGGAACTGTCGAGGAAAAAACATTGCTGCAATCAATATGATTGCCGATCCATTTTCACTCTACATGTTTGGAGTAGGTGAAGTAGATTCAGAAGAGCTGTAGACGTAAAAACTCGACGTAAAAACTCGAAAAGTAATGCATCTCTCTAGCAGTTTGCATCCAAAATCACCCGTTTCACGGTTGTACTTCCCCCGACAAACGGCAGGCTGTGGACTGAGTTTGGAGTATCTACATGATAGAATGAGACTGAATGGAGTCTGTGAAGTCATCAAGAGTTAGCCAGGCGTAAGAACAAAACTGTATTCATAACACACGTATTTATGCTACTATGAATATATCCGAAGAAGCTATTGTATAGTTTAACACATGTAGCGGTTTTGTAAACTAATTCAAGTGCCATAAGGGTTAATATATGTTTGTTGTATTTCTCAGAAAAGTGTATGAATCAGTTCTGATCTCAATGGTTTTGTAACTTTATCAGTACCAGTAATATCCATAATTATACAGTTTCTTCCAACAGGGACTTTGACTATTGATAACAGTCAAAACGCTTGATCTGCCGCGATCTGTGAGAGTGTGCAGGAGAATCCGAGGCAGTCGATTTCGCGTCGCTCTTAAGAACTCGGCTTATCGCAGACCCCAACTTGGCAAATTTTGCGTCGTGACTTGAGCCTGTACCCGTACAAAATTCAACTGACCCAGGAACTGACAGTGAACGACGTGTGTTCGCTGAATGGGATCTGGAGCAGTTGGCGAATGACCCTAATTTTCACTGAAAAATTATCTTCAGCGATGAGGCCCATTTCTGGATGAATAAGTACTTGAGCAAACAAGATTGTCAAATTTAGGACGATACCATTCCACACGAGATCCAAGAGCGTCCTATGCATCCCGAAAAAGGCACATTTGGTGTGGATTTTGGTCTGGCGGCGTCATCGGCCCATATTTCTTTGAGAACGACGTTGGCCAGGCAATCACTGTCAACGGTGAGCACTATAGGTCGATGATTACCAACTTCTTTTGGCCTGAATTAGATGATCTGGACGTATGTGGCTACGTGCCACATGTATCATACCACATTGGATATTCTGCACAAGAGATTTGAGGGCATGGACATCTCAGGTGGAGGTGATATGAACTGAACCCCGAGATCGTGCGATTTGACCCCACAATGGGGTTTTTCATGTGGGGTTTTCTCAAGTCGCAGGTGTTTGCTAATGAGCCACAAATCACAGCGGTCCTCAGAACCAACCTAACCCATATTTTTCGTCAAATTCAACCTGATTTACACGCCAGAGTCATGGAAAATTGAACGTTTTGGATGCGCTCCACCCAGAGAAGTCATGGCGATATTATATTCCACAGATAATGATATCAATAGGTCTTTCAATCATTTTGGTCACAAATTCAATACCCCTGAGGCCCAATTCTGAATTTATGAAAATCTCTCCCCTCTAGGAAGTGACGTCAAGATGACGTGATTTGACATTCTAGAACATATGATAATCATTGCGGATATGGATATGACGTCGGTTTCTATAAGTAAAAGCTTCTCACGATTCGTGAATTATATTTTAATCGACGATTTTTTTAAACTTGGTCACAAGACGGGAGCTAAGTTGGAGAACTGAAAACTGGAAATTTATTTTAAAAAACCCATATGACCTTTTTTGTTGCTCCTTAAGAAGACATACGCCATGTCTCATCTGAACTATGTATAGTCAGAACATGGGAAAGTTTCAATTTATGTCCAAATTTCAATTTATGTCTCAATGAGTCCCCTTGAAAAGATTATATGAGATATTTTCATGGAATAATGGTTAGGAGTAACAAATTGTCACAAAAGTGTTGAACTTGAATCTCGTTAACGGGAAACGGGAAACGGGAAAAATTTTGAAATAACCAGAACTCCCAGAACCTATATTCATACAATAGTAGTTCTGAAATCATTTGAAAAATATTAGAGTATCTAACAATGGACTTTCTGAATTTGGGAGTTTCGTCGTAGTATTCATACTATGAGTATTCAATTGAAATTTTAAAAAATCGTTCATTGAAATTACTATCCGCTCTAAGTTCGGTCATTGCGGTGACTTTATTTCTTGATATTGAAGAAGCATTTGACAATGCACTACCTAAATCTATAGGATCGTCTCTGGCTAGGTATAGAATCGACCATAACTGGCTGGATCTATGCCATGCTGGTAAACAGAACTACAACTACGACTCTTCAAGGCGTGGCCATAAGGTTCAAGGTCACCAGGGACTGCCCTCAAGGTGGGGTATTATCTCCCCTTCTGTGGTCGCTCCTGATGGATAGTCTGCTTGATACCCTCGACAGAAAAAAATTAGATCTGCAAGCTTATGCGGCCGACCTTGTTATCTGGAACGATCCACACCAGAAAAAGTCGCTTGGAATATCCAAAGCACGTTGGACGTTGTTCACAGTTGGTGTCTGAGGGAGCAGATGTCTGTCAACCCCAGCAAAACTGTGAGAATCCCCTTCACCAGAAGGATAAAATTGGACGATCGTTAGATCAATGGTGAGGTCATTCCATTTGGAACAGAGGTGAAACATTGCCTGGTGGTCGAAGGCTTTACAGAAAATGGTCCAGGTGAAACTATCTGGCTTACAGAGACAGGCTTGTATGGCTATCAGTACCACACCGTCAGCGGCCATGGAGATCCTTCTAGAGGCTAGATGGACTGCATACAGACTTGTGCACATTGCCAATTACACAAATCAATTCAATGCAGAGTGCAACAGACTGTTGGTTGACTCTGGAAGTCACAGCATTCTGGAAATAACCTCTGACTTTATGCCTCCAACCGCCTTATAAAGTACTGTTCTTGAGTGGAGAGGACTGGATCCTCCGGGAGAAGGAAATATTAAGAGCAGATAGTTGTTGGTTATCAAAACGATCAAAAACCCCTTCCGGTTCTGGTGCAGGTGTATTTAGTCGCAGACCCAGGACAGAGATATCTACCTGCCTAGGAACATATGCGACTGTATTTCAAGTGAAAATGTACGCTATTGAATTGTGTGCGGAGATATTGGAACAATCCAACCTCATACACGAGTCAATAAAAATATTCTCGGACAATCATGCGGCGTTGGACGCTCTTGGCTCTTACGAGCAAGTCTAAATTGGTATCCAATTGTCAAAAACGACTGTCCTCGATAGGATTGTCTTTGGTCTCTGGATTCCTGGTCATACTGGCCTGAAAGGCAATGAGGCTGTTGAATCCTTTGCAAAGGAGGATGCTGCAATCAGCTTTATGGGACCATAACCTGTTATTGGCATCGCTTCAGGCTTTGCCAAACAAACATTGAACACCTGGACGGCAAGAAGATTTATGGACCTCTGGCAGAATTTTCCAGGATTGGCTCACTCCAAGGCGTTTATTCACCCTTCGAAGCTTGATACCAAACAGTTGTTGAACTATAGTAGGGATGAAATACGATGTCTAACAAGTTTTCTTACAGGTCACTGTCATTTGAATCATCATATGCAGAGACTCGGACTGTCGAAAGACAGTGTGTGTCGACTCTGTTTGGAAAATAATGAAACAGCAGAGCCTGCTGCTGCTGCCTGCCCCGCTGGGGACCGAATCAGGTTTTTAGAGTTCGGCAGGTGTTAGCCACAATAAACCCTCGTGGGTTGCGACCTAACTCCTCACTTTAGACCTAACCTAACCTAAGTTCGGTCATCGTATACACATAATTGCTTTCCAATGCTTATTTGGAAGAATGCTAATTGGTCTACATTTGTTCGTAGTATTTACATGTCAAAAATCACTCAATTCGAAACTTCTAAGCTCTACGTTGTGCTTGTTATTATACGATGATTTTTCATTAATATAGCTACGAAGAAATAAAAAATTAGGCCATGGTAGTACATGTCAATCAACTCGTGTGCCTACCAAATTAAAAAAACATGTGTGAAAGTTTCGCGTACACATAAAAAGTGTTACTGACCCACCCTGTATACACCGAGCACTCACCTTCCGTGCTACTCCTGCCATGCAAACTGCAGTCTTCTTCCTTGCCAGGCCTGAGGGGACTAGTTGGTGAGGCGCCTCCCGTAGAACTGACCGACCCTCCCGAACTATGCGCGGAGCCCTGCAGGTAAAGGGGGTGCGTATGTCCAGAAGCTGCGACGTGGCTGTCCATGCTTCCGGAGAGACCGCCTCCGACAACGCCGTTGCTCGATCCTGCCGCCGCTGCCGCCTGCGACAGCGTATGCGCATCCTGCAGTCTTTGAACGTTAAACTGGAAACAAAAAAAGTGTTTGTTTGCAGGTTTTTTGTCTAATGGTATGTTCATTTTGGGACTTCCATTGTCTGAAAGTATTCTTAATTCGCTAAAACAAAAAAACGAAAAACGAAAAAAATGAACAAGTAGATAATTCATTTTTTTTGTCAGGATACTCAGGAATTACAGGCAACAAGTAAGCTTTCGAATGTGCCAGGCACTGATCAATAACTCTATAGTTAGGCCCTGAACCAGCTGTGGAGATATGGGACCTGATCAGAAAGTGGATCAATAAGATACACAAAAAGCTGGAAAGATAAATCCGGGAACACGGTAACAGACACGCATATGGCTTAGAACAATTACAGGACTACACACTGGACATTGCCCATTAAAAGGACACCTGAACATAATTTTAAGGTTACATAATGGTAACTTTAGCTGCAGACAATTCAACAAAAGGACAAATGTGAGGGACTGGATCACAGGAGCCAAGAAATTTTTGGACAACATACATTATATCCAGAAGCATTTTATAAACATTTAACAAGGAACCTGTAACAAACTAGTATGGGAAACAAGATTGTTGAAAAGAGTGCTGCGAAATTAGACTGGAACTGAAGAATAATAAATTTACTGCTACACATATGCTTGCCGTTCCGATCTAACTGCACTTCTTGGGAGTAGTGAAGTGGACTCAAAACGATCTGTATCTATTCGAAGTGAAGACCCAAAAAATGATGTATCTGTATATGAGTTTGCCTTATACCTCCCCCGACAACAAAAAGGTCGTGTAATTCGAATTGCTACTAGATTGAGCTACTGGATAGAGCTTGTTAAGTCACCGGAAGTTCGCATTCTCTTCTTCGCGGCCATGAGAAAACAGGGAATGGAACATTTCTTTTTGAAATAACTGCCGAGTTGGATTAAATTGATTCAGTTTTCGAAACTAAACAAAGTGACCACAAGTATGTCACCAAGTTGTAACCTTTTCAATAAAAACTTTTTATTAAAACCACAGTTACTTATGCGGCTATACAAGAATGAGCCGGAGTCTTCTTCAACAACTTCACCGGCATATAAAAGCATCTATTCCACATTGCCCGCGTGATAGGTATATAAATGTCTGTCATTAGGTGTAAGTCTTACTGCAAGGCGTTTCAGACCCTTCTGTACTCCTACGGTATTCACGAGTCAGTGACGTTGCTTTATACCTCGGGGGATATTGACTCCGTTGTATATAGGAAATGAAAAGTTCTGAATGCATTAAAATAAATTAGCCAACAGGCTAATACAAGTTAATAAGCCTATTGTAGTCATCCTTGACATTAGAATCTGTTCACACCACCACTCGTTAAAATGAGACGAGAGTTCAAAAATCTATTCGTGGTTGCCTAGCATCACTGATGAGATCCATGGTGATTAGATCGAAAATAGCGAAAAGAATTCACATTTATTGTATAGAGTAGGGAGGGTGAGTGTAAGCCCACTGCAGTTAGGCCACATGTGACTCATTGTACATCCTCCCAAGGAGTTGTCCTCCTAGGTCATTGTCCATCCTGTCCTTTCCAGGAAGGTGGACAGGTTACTAAGAGACATCTCCTTTATATCGGCAGGTGTAGGCCAAGACTCGCCGAACACACACACTCTTATTGACGATAACTCCGGGCACTCGCATAGGACATGCCTGACAGTCTCATCTTCCGGTTCACACATCCTGCATAGAGGTGTGTCCACTAGCTCCATATTATGGAGGTGTTTCCTTAGTTCACAATGGCCAGTCAGAAATCCTACTGTTAAGCGTAGATTTTTCCTGGTCACCCCCAGAAATTTCTTCGGCGCCAGCTTCCCAGGGTCGCCCAAGGTGATCCTGGCAAGATTGCATCCTTTGATTCCATCCCATCTCTTTAGGGATTGAGCATGCGTGTAACATTTGGCTGGTTCCGCAATTGTCGAAGTCATCAGGCCGTAGGTGCCACTGGGCCCTACCGAAGCTTTGGCTAAATCTTTTTCCACTCCCCACTTAATCCTTAGCTTTAGTAATCTGGTGTACACTCCACATCATGAGACTTCTTTGGTTTTTGAGCCATTGCCGCCGCGGTTGGTGCTGTTCTCATGACTCCTGTGATGTTTAAACAAGCCAGTCGTTGTATTTGATATAATTTTTGGATGGCCGTTGCTTGTACAACTTTCGGTCCACATGCAATGGATCCGTACATTAACATAGGTCTTATTATTGCAGTGTAGATCCAGGTGACCACACGGGGTGAAAGACCCCATGCGCATCGCACTGTCGTCCGACATTGCTCATAAGCCACATATTCTCTTTTTTCTCTACTCTGTAGGTGAGAGTTCCATGTTAGCTTCCTGTCGAGGATAGTACCAAGGTATTTCACCACTTCAGAGAAGTTTAGTTTGCTTTCGAAGATTTCGGGAGGTTTTAAGCCCGGTAAACTTCTTTTCCAGGTGAAAAAGACCATCTCAGTCTTCTTGGGATTGATCGACAGTGAGTGTTCCTTACACCATGTTTCTATTAGTTTCAGCTCATCCTGCGCTCTATCGCACAGTGTATTCACAAATTTGTAGAATCTATTTTTGTTGAAGTGATTCTTCAAGGTATCGAGAACTATGTTCCAGAGAAGGGATGATATGACCCCTTCCTGTGGACATCCCCTCATGACCAGTCCTTTCACTGTGATGTCTTCTACATTGATACTTATTGTTCCACTAGAGAGCATCTTGAGTATCCATTCTCCTATCACCATTCCTGGAGTGTAGTTGCTGGGTAATTGTTGGAAAGGTTATTTTATCAAACGCTCCCTCGATATCTATGAATATACCCAGAGTGGATTCTTTGTTGTCCAACTCGAATTTATTCACCACATTGCAAAGAGTCCTCTCGGTAGAACGATTATGGCGACCGTAAAATGGACGAAGCGCGCGGTACGGTGTCCGAACATAACAACCATTTTGGTTAAACAATGTTATTACTTGCACGTGTTATTGAATGGTTAATCCGTTATCAATTGTCAATTAATTAAATTTACAATGTAAATGTAATTATTCATTACAAATTTCGGGTGGGGTACCGGGTACCCTTATTTTCATTTTCCAAATCCATGTGTTTCTTCCTGTTTTCAGTTTGAAATTGTGATATTTTTTCGGACTAAACTATCAATACAATTCAAGCAATCGAAACTTAACTATGAAATAGTAAATTCATGTAATGTGATTGTCTAATTGGACTTTCATCGATAAAGAATAATAATTTGACGATTTTTCAAATAATCATAGAAAATAATATCAATCATTCCGAATTCACCATCAAAATTAGCATTTGTTTGAAATTATCGCCAATAATCCTGACATTCGCAACGGTCTTTTACAACGTTAACATAAACAACGAGCTCCTTTTTCAGATTTGATTTCAAGAAGAGGCCAAAAAAACTTTTGAATCAACGCGGATATCACGTAAATGCCGGTTAAGAAAAGCAACAGTTGTTACTAGATTTTATTTCTTAGTATTGGAAGTAGCCTTGGGTAGACAATGAGTACCAACATCACAAAAGAAATCTTGTGGCTCGTTTGATATTATGAAAATTACATAATTACTAGAACTTTCGTTTTGATACTGGATAAAACATCTAATCAAGTCGTTATATTCTAGTCGAAGACATTTTTGACATGCAAATTTCCATATATTTGTTGTGTTTGAATTTTTTCATATTCTTTATCATATTACAGCTGGTTAACGGAAAAACAAACTTTTCTGTAAAATGTAGCTGTTAGCTCACTTCGGAAAGTTTCTGATTGTAGGGTTCAAAAATGAATACAAAACTCACGTTGCTCATTTCATCAGTTCGGACTTCCGTTGTCTAATATGCTATAAAATGATTTGAAATTCCTGAAAAATATCAAAAAGATTAATCTAAAATAACAATTTCATTTGAACAAAAAAAACTGACATTACTAAGAAATAACCTAAAAACCAAACAACAACCAAAATATAAAAATTGAACTATCAATAAAAGCTGAAAATTAAAAATTATTATCAACAAAAAATGAAAAATAATAAAAATTAAAATTAAAAATTAATATTTCAATTTTTATTTTTTGGTTGTTGTTTGGTTTTTAGGTTATTTCTTTTTAATATTAGTTTTTTTTTATCAAATAAAATTTGTTATTTTCGGTTAATCTTTATGATATTTTTCAGGAATTTCAAATCATTTTATATTATATTAGACAATGGAAGTCCGAACTAATGAAATAAACCACGAAACATTGTCAACCATTTTCAAACTCACGTTGCTTGTTCAACTTAATAAAAAAAATTTCACCATATCATTAAATGGACACGTAATAAACTGATCACCAATTTCCACATTAGAAAAAATACTCAACGGAGGGAAAGGATTACATTTTTTTGGTAATTCAGTTAATTTTATACATTCAGAAATCTATTAATTTTGAGGCATTCCAAAAAATAGAGCCCAACTCCCAAATGTAATACATCTCAGTCTTGGTTGAACCTATGCCCCTCTACCAAAAGATGGTTTGCATATGTAGAATTGGTCTTTAAATTCGAAAAACTACTAATATGTTCTTTTATTCTTTTGGAAAAGGTTTTTCCCGTTTGGCCAATGTAAGGTAAGTAGTTCATTATATGACTTGGTGAACATTACTTTATAATGAATTTGGAGAGGTGAAAACACTTATTGTAATGAATGGATCGAAGAAGTTTATATAGAAGTGTAAAATTGTTTAATCTTATTGCAAAGCGCTTTCGACTTTCGTTATCATCAGTGGTCACCTGGAAGTAAATACTCTAATTGGAAAGAATGTTTTGTGAAAATTTGATTTTTAATTTTGAGGCTATGAAATTTGGAAAATTGTTGATGAGTACTTACTCGTCAGACAACAGGAAGTATCGAAGTATGAAGACAGTATATAAATTGAAGGTGTTAACGAATGTTTGGAATACAAACTGAGTAGAGAAAAGTGTCTTCTGTATAATTCAA